TGTGCCCAAGAGTTAAAAGGAATCAGAGCCAGCCCTGAGCCCTAGCCTAAGCCAAGTGCATCTGCAGACAAACAGCTGAGATAAACCTCCCGCTACTTTAGCATCTCCCACTCGCACCCTCGATAGCCCTGAACATTTCTCTGGGCCCCACATCTGCCTAAGGCCCCTCTGCCCTATGAAACTGGCAGCAATGATCAAAAGAGATGTGCCCAACTGACTCAGAGCTGAATGTCCAAGCCACCGCCGCTACCGCCCCTCTCCTTGCCCAGAGGTTTCCGGGAGAGGAGGGGCACCATACAAACATTGCTGCCGCAGTGCAAGTTTGTCAGTAAAGAAATGCACAGACGCAAGCAACAGGTGATCAATGCAGCCTTTGTGGGACAGGCTTAGAGAGCCATTTGCCAAAAATTACAATCCTAGAGGACTTTACTGAGGAGTGTGCCAGTGAGCTGATTAAGGTGGCCACCACAGTTTTCATCAATCGAGATCTAGAGACTCAAAGACAGGTAGACCAGAAAGATAAAGAGGAGGATGGATCTCCTTACAGGTGCCCTCACCACAAACCCAGAGGTAACTCAAAGGGGAGTCTCACTAGCGCAAAGCCAATGGTACAAATGTTTATAAGGAAAAAAAGCCTGGCTAAAAAAAAAGGGGAAGCCTCTAATGGCCCCGGCAGATAAGTACCTACTGCCATGCTCAAATGCTAAGACTTGAACAGAGAAGGAGTGAATGTTTTCCCTCAAGCCTTTGGCCCCAGCCCCTCCTTTCAGTTTCTTCCCACTTGCTCAGAAGTCAATGATTGACGAATATGGCAGGGGTCCCACAGACACACACAACTGCATCTGATGCAGGAGACCCAGCGCCTCAGGAGGGCTCAGCTGCTGCAAGCCCCAAATGAACCAGGAATATGTTCATGTTAACAGCCAGTAGTGGACCATAGGGTGCTCACTCTAAAAGGACATGCCACCCTGGGGCTAAGCCACATGCTGTGAGCCACCAGCAGGAAGGGCCACAAAGCCCCATGCCCCCAGGCATATTGAACAAAAACACAGGCGGGGCAGCCGCTATATATAATTAGGACAGGCTCCCACCTAGCAGGAGGAGAAAGCCACTCAGACAAAGAGCAACACCTAGGTGGACACAATGTGACTGTCACACCAGGACCTGCACAGGACCACACCACTGCCCTCCAACCTTGACAGACAGCCCACAGTGAGATTTGCATAGGTGCCTTTTACACAAATGATGTCCCAGGTCATCAGAATCTGCTAAGATTTACATTAGATTTTAGAGTTGGAGAATCCTAACAGCCAAGATCCTGCACTGGGAGATAACAAAATAATTCCTGCATCTTAAAGCGCCAGAGGCTCTATGTACGCCTCCTTTCCCTAAAAGACATATAATTGACTTAAAAACCCTTATCTATCAAGAAAAAGGTCAGATACTTTGGTTACCATGACTCAGCAACAGAACAGAACAACCACTGGGCCTCAAAAGAAACAGGAGATCTGCTCAATTCCAGTCCCTTTAACCTGCCATCAGACTAGAGAACTCTTGGGGGCTACTGGGTTCAGCCATATATGATCCCCAACTTTCTGTTATGACAAAAACCACTCTATGAAGCCACAAAGTGGGGAGAATGGGATCCTCTAATATGGGGGTCAACTAAGCAAAAGGCCTTTGAGGACTTTAAACAAGCACTCACCAGTGCACCTGGATTAGGGCTCCCTGATTGTGTCCTCATTGTGACCTCACAAGCCTTTCTTTCTGTATTTCCATGATCAGTCTGGCGTGGCTATAGGATTTTGACTCAGATGCTGGGGACATGGTACCGTCCAGTGGCCTATTTGTCCAAATAGCTGGACTCTGTAGCCCAGGGCTGGCCACCTTGTTTACGGGTCCTTGCAGCCACAGCTCTTCTGGTGTTGGAAGCTGATAAACTGGCCATGGGACAAGAACTGGTTGTCAGAATTCCTCATTCAATTTTGACATTGTTAAAATATAAAGGACACTATTGGTTGACTAATGAAAGAAGTCAAACATCAGGGCATGTTATGTGAAAACCCACGTATCCACGTTGAGGTCCTCAGAACTCTAAACCCAGCAACTTTGCTGCCCATTGGACCTGGAAAACCTGATCACAAATGTGTTGAGGTCGTTCTGGTCCAGCAGACCAGACCCAACAGACCAACCTCTCAAGGACACTGATGCATACTAACCATATGCAAAATATATCTCATCTTTTATAAAACTGCTTCACAGATGGAAGCAGTTTTATAAAAGATGAGATATGTTTTACTGGATATGCAATGGTCACTCTGGACTCCAATGTCGAGGCAGAACCTCTGCCTCAGGGAACTTCAACACAAAAAGTAAAATTTATTGCTTTGACTCAAGCACCTCAGTTGACATCAGGAGTCTATGTGGATATTTACATAGACTCAAAATATGCGTTCGCTACCCTTCATGTTAATAGGACTTATGTAGGCTAATTAACTCAGGAGAAAAAAAAGCAGGGGACATGATGGATGGACAAGAAATTCTTAAACTTTTGGATGCACTGTGGGGTCCCAGGAAGATTGTGATTATATATTGCCAAGATCATCGAAAGGGAAATACTGTGGTTTCACAGGGCGACCAGAGAGCTGACACAGAGGCCAGGTTAGCTATCTGCAAGAAACGGGAAGAAAATCCAGTCCCAGGTTTAAATGCTGCCCGTCTGCCTGGCCGACCATCTAATAGAATGGGAGCCAACATACTCTCAACATGAAAGTAAGTGATTTAAAACTGAAAAAGAAAATTTTCTCCCAAGTGGATGGTGGAGATTTTCTGATGGCCAGCATAGCCATCCTGGAGATTCTAGCCCCAGCCTTTATCAGATAATTCCGCAGGAAAATATGTTGGACATATAACACTTGAGACAGTTCTGAGTAGACATTTCTATGTCCCCTGGCTCACAAGAATCATCTGGATGATCTGCAAACAATGTGAGGTTTGTGCTCACAATAATTTTTGTCAGGGGCCAAAGCTTCCACCAGGAATCCAAACTATAGGAGGAGCACCTTTTGAAGACTTGGAAGTAAACTTCACTGAACTACTGCTGAGGGCCATTACCAAGTAGGAATGACGCATCGAAATTTCCTTGCCAAGCGTACCCCATGCTGCTTAGAGGACATTTGATGGAACATTGCATGCATGCTTTAATGAGGTGACCTTGCTCAAGGACCAAGGCAGATCCGGGTTTAGAGCTGATCAGGTTTGAGGAAGTAACC